CCCCTGCCATCAAAACATACCATTTAGTGATGAAAATAACCTTTTACTTGGGATCTGTCTGCTGAATAAATTAGGTCAAACTTTCAGTATATTTTAAAGCAAAACTGCTGAAATGATGGAGTTGCTTCTCTCAGGCAGACTGAGAACAGAATCGAGCCCATCGGTTTTTGAAGGGAAGCAAAACTTTAATGTCCAAATAAGAACAACACAAACCCTAAGGCATCTCAGATGCCCAGAAAACCTGGGATGATCCCACATCATGGTACAACTGGGCATTTACCCCATTGATTTAAGAAGGCTCCTTACAGGAAAGGCTGAAAGACTGATGTTAAAGAAAGATACTGTTCTGTATCAGCAGCCTAACTACGTCAGCTGCTGCAGCTCATAGGAGAATTCAAAAGCTCCAATATTTAAGTTGTGGAAGTACATCCCTTGGAAGGATGGCACATCCCGCTTTGTCCTGAAGATTTCCACAGCGATGTTAAGACTGTATCATTCCCCACTTTCCTGTATTAACAATTCTCCAGATGGTTCAGGAGTAGCACTTCTTAGCAAGAGATAAGTTGCTGGCTGCCCAGTCAGAGGCAAAAAGAATGGGAGACATCCAGCTTGGGTGCTTGGCTGGGACATAGACCGTGGATGAGCTTCCAGGGACTCTCTGCCTGGGGATCCTTGAAAAGGAGCCAGGAGCAGCAGGACCCTGTTGTCTGCACCCTGAATTAGAGTTCAGGGTTCAAATCTGAAGTTTCAAGCATCCATCATGCCTTCTTTTCGTTGTTGGAGAAATCATGGATGTCAAATGAGGAGAGTCATTTCCAGCCCCTCAGCCTGTCTTTGTGTTGACTAAAAAATAGCATGACCAAGAGGGTATTTCTCTAATGTTTTGTGAGTGTGGGCACATTTGTCTCCTGTATTTGTGCATCGTTGTGTCATGCTCGTAGATGTATCCTGCATTAAGCAACCTGCTGTGAGTTTTTCACTTGAGAAGACCTTTTAACCCAGGCTGGTGGCTCAGGTGGTACTTGAGTTGCATAGAGAGCTTGCAAAGACGAACTCTAATAGCTGTGTCCTTATTCTACTTAAAGTTTGAGTGCAGTGCGTGTTCACAAATCAGTACCGGAGCAATGCTGTGTACATAATGATCTGCTGTAATTAGAGTTGTACTAACACTGATACATACTTAACAACCGTGCGAGCAGTCGTTGTTGGCAGAAGGAAGATGTGACTTCTAAACATTCTTGTTTCAGTGTTACATCTAAAAAACCCAAATAACGAATCCAGCATTCTCATCTCATTCAAGGCCATAGACCAAAAATTTGACACTGATTTTTTAAACCTTAAGACCTTATTTTTTTAAACCTTAAAATTTGACATTGATTATTTAAACTGTTTTTTCAAACCATTGATTTTTCATTAAACCTGATTTTTGCTGTTCATGGCTTGGGAGCCTATCTTCATGCTGCACACTCTTCTGGGAGAATGTAGGGCTGACTGGGTGGTGTTCATGTGCTTAAACTGGTTAGGGGTCAACTTGAGGTGGAAATCAGAGGACTGTGTCCAGACCTTGCAAAGGCCCCAGAGGCGTGAGGACACCAGCACCTCCCAGCAGGTACGGGAGATGGCAGATGACCAGGTGAGCTAGAAGATGGATGTGGACCATGTAACGGACCTTGCAGTGGCAGATTCTGCAACTTGGCTGGCTGTGCGGCCATGCGTTGTCACCACGTGGCTTTGCCAGCTAGCAGTCTCTGTGCCGTCTGTGCCGACCACGTAGGGAGGAGAACAGGCTGAACACTTTTTCTGCCAGAAGTGTGGTTGCATTGAAATCAAACTGTTCCGCAGGAGCTCACCCAGTTTGATGACATCCTCAGTGGGGTTGTTAGTAAGAACGGCACAGATTATTCTCTTTGCTGTCAATAACGTGAGAGCTGGAGACAGGATTTTTTATTTTATCGTTATGGGGTGTTACCAGGATGTGAAATGTTGTCCAAGGAACATTTTCGTTAAGGCTGATGTACTTAAAACACTCTGTAGACTTTTAGCAGCGCCTGCTGAGGGGCCTGCCACAGAGCCTGATGTCCAACAAACCTGCTTGTTCGCAGCGCTGGAGGAGCAGGAGAGCTTCAGGTCTCAGTCAACAAGTCCCAGCTCTGGTGAAGACGGGCAGAGGAGGACCTTTCCTTCTTAATTCTTTCTAGACAGCTTTAGTTATTTCTTGATTTTTATTTTTTATTTTTATTTTTTAACTTGAAAGAAAGGAAACCACTAAATCCAGCAACTCATTAGAAGCTGGGAAAGGAGCTGAGAATTTTGAAGGATGAGTGGGTGCATGTAATACACAATTACATCCAAGGAAAAGTCAGTATTGCTTTTACAAAAGGCAGCCCAGCCTCACAATTAGATGGGAGTGCTTGGAAGAAGTCAGCAGGTGTGTGGATGAGGAGCACCTAGTTGGTGTAGCTGGCGTGGATTTCTGAAAGGTTTTCGATATTGTCCCTCATGGCAGGGGCTTTTAAGGAAACTGAGTTAAGAAGGAAGTTCCTTGTGTGAATAAATACTTGTCTAAAAGGCGAAATGCAGGGGGGAAGTGGACGGTGAGTTACTGTATGGAAGAGGGGTCAGCAATGCTCTTTACAGGGATCGGGGCTGGGGTATGTGGGGTTCAATAAATCTCTAACTGGAAAAATTATGAATCGTGAAGCGGTGACATTTGTAGGTGAAACGTTTAATCAGGGCATGAAGGATAAGGCCTGACTTAAAGAATTGCAGAAAAGCTTTTATGAAGCTCAGTGAGCATTAAAATGGAAGAAAAAAGTTCAACTGCAAAGTGATAGAGTTTGGGGAAGATGGAGAGAACCTAATTTCCTCATTTCTTCCTATTTTCATGTCTAAAGCAGCGGGCTCTGAGCTGACCGTCACTGCTCAGGAATGAGATCTTTGGATGGTGATAGGCAGTCCCGTGGAAAGGTCAGCTCGGTGCTAAGTGCCAATCAAAAGCAGCAAACCACTTTAGGGACTGTTATGAAAGGGAAGCAGGACAAAACAGAGAACATCATTATGCCCTTATGTAAATCCACAGTGTATTTACCTCTTAAAAATTTTTTCCAGTTTTAGTCCATCTCAGAAACTCAGAAGAGCAGGAGGGGTAGCCAGGAGCCCTCAATCACTTCTGTACAGGGAATGAGCAAGTGGGCGAAGGCTCCTCAGCCTCACCAAGAGATGATGAGGGGACCAGGGGATGTGACAGAGATTAAAGAGCCGACCAGTGGCATTGAGAGAGTGGATGGGGATTGCTTGCATGATGTCTCTTCCAATACAAGGACCAGAGGGCATCAAGTGAAACTAGCTGGTGGTAGGCTCAAAACAAACAAAAAGAGGTGTTTCTTTGCATGGTACATAGCTGAGCTGTGGAAGTTCTCTCTATAGGAGGTCAGGGATGCTAAAAGTCTGCATGAGCCAAAGGGGAAGCAGGACAACTTCATGCCTTAGAAGTCCTTGAAGCCATCTTTAGAGGTAATTCTGGATTATAGGCTGCTAGAAGGAAAAACAAACATCGGGGAAATTTTGCTGCATGCTGCCTTGTTCTTATAATCCTCCTAAGGCAAAGATTGGCCACTGTGAGATAAAGTGAGTTGGACTACATGGACATTTATCCTGACGCATTCTCACGCTGCGCTTAGCAGTGATGCCCTGGGGATGTGGGATTGACCTGAGGGTACTGTGGAAGCAGACCCCAGTCACAGGAGAAGCGGTGGTGTTCAGATGTAACAATTTGATGTCTGGAAATATTTGTATAATTTTCTTTTCCCTGCAAGTTTTGCCTTTGTGTTCCCATTAGCCACACCAGGGAATTTTGAACTCCTGGAATTTTTGCAGCACATCGGTCCCACCTTCCCAGGCACCTGTGACACCACTTGGTCAAAGTCTGGGAACTGAGCTGTGGACACAAGCACGTGAATTTCCTCGACTGAGAAGTCACCCGTTATGGAGTTGGGAGCATCCCCTCCCAGCTGGGCACAGAAGGGGACATAAGTCTGAGGTCACTGCTGCACCTGAGATGCCTCAATTACTTGCTTACTTGCATTAGTTTGGTCAGTTTAGATTGGATATTAGGAAAAATTTCTTCACTGAAAGGGCAGTCAGGCCCTGGCACCGGCTGCCCAGGGAAGTGGTTGAGTCCCCATCCCTTCAGGTATTTAAAAGCCGGGGAAATGTGGTGCTGAGGGACATGGTTTAGTGGTGGACTTGGCAGTGCTGGGTTACCGGTTGGACTCGATCTTAAAGGTCTTTTCCAACCTAAACGATTCTATGAGTCTATGATTAAGCTCCCTGTGTGGTTGCTGGCAGCTCTGCATGGCCATTCAGACTGTAGGATGGAGCTGCCCACCATGACAGTAAAAAGCTCCTAACTTCAGAGCTTAAAATGTACCAGGACAACCCAGGGCAGAGCACGTACTGAATAGTGGAGTTACGAAAGCAGCCAGCCTGGGCAAGCAGTCTCACCCGGTCTGTGGGTGGCAGAGATGATAATGAGAATATAGACTCATAGAATCATAGAACAGTTTGGGCTGGAAGGGACCTTAAAGCTCATCTCGTTCCAACCCCCATATTTTGTGGACACAGCATGATGTTCAGTGGGATTTAGCAGAGCTGCTTTAATTTTGGATTTCAGTTGCTTGCTTGTCCTCTCTCTGCTCTCAGTGCTTTTTCTTTTTTTTTTTTTTTTTTTATCATGCTTCACCTGATGATGCGTTTTCGTTCACAGGAGAGCTTTTAATTGCCATGAAGGACTTCAGCCAGTGCTGCATATTTATCCTCACCCTCAGGATTTCAGACACTTCTAACGAACTGATAACCATGGGACAGTGATGGCACAGACACAGCAGGGTGTGTGGATTTTTCTTGAAGTAAATGAAGCGTAAACATTATTTCTGTACTTCCTTTCATAGACCTACAAGTCATGTGCATTAAAGTCTTTTTTTTTTTTTCCCCTCTTTCAGATTTTAACAGTGGGAAGATGCTGATGGACAAAAATGAATCTTGGTTCTCTAATTTCTCCTCTGCTGCCTCCTCCTTTGTGAAAGGAGGTGGCAGCTGGGCAGGGATCGGCCTCCAGGAGGTGGTCATTGGGCTGATACTAACCCTCATTGACTTGATCACGCTTCTGGGAAATACAGTAGTCTTCATCTGCCCAGTGGTGGAAAAGAGGCTGCGCACTGTCACCTATATGTTTATCATGTCCTTAGCCATGGCAGATTTCCTCGTAGCTTGTCTGGTCATGCCCTTTAGGTAAGAAGGGCTTGTACGGTAAGATCAGATGGTGGGGTGTGCATGCAAGACCATTTCTCCTTGCTCAGTGGCCACTGTTTGAGCAGGGCTGGCTACTAGTTCATGTGCTGTGCTTAGGGCTGGGCTCTCCAAGGGGCTTAACTATGGGTCAGTGATTGTATGTGCTTCTGTGCCTCAGTTTCCCTACCCTTTATAATGGGTCCCCTTCTAATGAATGGAGGAGACTTCCCAAGGGTATGTTTCTTCTTGGCTATAGAGGGACTCTGGCTGCTGCTCTGAACTAGATATCCAGCTTTTCAGGTGGCTCCAGTGCAATGAGTCCCCTCTTCCAGGACTAGCTCTGTGTTGCATGCAGGGCCAACATGGTTGCTAGATGATTTTTCATGCTCTGAGTGTTTGGGGAATGTGAGATGAGGACTGTCACTGGTGTGTCAGCATGAAGTGCTACGACTGCATTGATCCTGCTTGTGTTTCAAAGGCAGAGCAAATCACGGAGCATATTTTTCCCTCATTTTTCTTAGTCAAGAATGACTGTTGAAATCAGCGGAGTTAAATTCTGTGCTTTCGATTTTACACTTCTTTAACGTTGTCTTTTATTTTCTGGTAGTGGGAGGGAAAAGTAAAGAAGATCCTTCTAGTGTGAGAAAATGGATGATTTCACATTATTGAACTTGAAAGGCTATTGCAGAGATGTTATTCTTCATATTCTTGGTGAAACAGAATTTTGATTGTTCCTTCTGGTTCAGACAACGTACTGGTGGAGTTTGTGGGAAAGGCTGGTGACCTTGCAAAATAAATCTTTTGCCTCCATAAACAGACTAGAAAAATTGCAGTCTGCAGTGGGATAACAAATGGGATTCGCTGCACTTGGGGGAATTGGTTTTGCCCCTCTTGCCTGACTGCATCGCCCATCGATAACTGGCAGTGTTGACATGGGGACAAAGGCCATCTCCCCTCTTGCTGTGTAACTGTAAAGATTTTGTTTTAGTATAAGTAATTTAGGCTCCCCCTATATTTAATGGAGGAAGAGGCACTTCAGAGGGCAGTTCTCCCTGCTTGAAGTTTATATTTACAGGAGCTTCACTACGTGGCTAAAACATAGTAAAACAAACCCAGAAACCAGTTTACTGGTAGGCTCTGGCTGTCTTGTGCTGTAAAATGGCCGTAAGCTTGTGGAAAGCAGGGGGTTGCAGCCTATTTAGTGTTCTTGGAGCAATATGAAGAAGCTGAACTTTTTTCACATTCTGTGATTCAGTTCTCACAGGGCTGCCTACGCTTTTGAATTTGGCACCGAAAGATATTTTCCCAATAAGCAATTACAAACTGAGTTATAAGTTTATAGTGTCAGGTGAAAAGAAAGCAGTTAATGATGCCCTTCAAAAAATATTACTGCCAATTTCAATTCTAAGCTCGGTGAATTTTTAAGTTCAGGTTCTGAAATCATCCATCTGTATTCACCTGTCTCTCCCTTCCACCTGGTGCTACAAATATCTGCCCTGGGGGCTTGGGTTGCAGCTGAGTTGTAGGATGATCTAACCTCTCCTAACCTACTAAAGTCAGTGGGAATGAGGGTAGTGACTTAACCAGGAGATTTGTATTGCTGATAGTGGGGAGGTTTGCTCTATGTTGGAGAAAGATGGGACTGTAGAAGTGGCTCTTTGCCAGACAGGGGTGGGAAGGGTCTCCAGGTTGGCTGATCTTGTTCCCCGAGGATTGCCAGCAGCTCCGAGCGGGTGTGTGGGTGAGGACCTGGCTGACGTGGCTGCAGCAGTCTGGCTATCTGCTTCCTTCCCCATTTCCAGCTACTAAACTGGGCTGGAGCTGGGCTGCAACTGGGAATGGTGGAGTCTGCAGGGCCTGAGCTGGGCTTACCTGCAAAACAATGTGGTTCTCCCTGCCCTGCCTGGAGGGGATGCAGAAACGGTCCATGTGCTCTTGTCAACAGTAGCACACACTATTTTTTTCCCGAGAAGCTCTGATGCTTCCCACTGCATGAACAAGAACACTGCAATAAAAAGCAGCAGACCATTTCAGCCTCCTAGAAAGAGTAAAACAGTGTGTCAGACACCAAAGATTAGCTAAAGCAACAATCTTTCTGCTACCTGGCATTTCCCTGGGCTATTTTTCTTCTCCTTTCCATGTTCTTGTTAAGCCCAGAAATGAGGGGGTTTCATCCCAGTCCAGCCCAGTTGTCTCAAGGGCTCCTCTCTGGGACTGTGCAGCATCACCTGCTCTTCCACCCACTCCAACCATCCCTCCAGGAGATCACCTTCTCCATTACCCCCATCTTACCCAGGAACGGCAGCACCCCTTTTACTCAAAGAAGACAAAAGCTGAACAACTCCTGCTTTGGAGTGAGTTCCAGCTGATGACTGCTATCACTGCTTCCTCTCCAAATTTGCCTGTTGTCCACCTGATGACTCCTCTAGTGTCTCCACGTTCAGCTCATGCTTGGGAATATCTGTCCTGGATTTCTTCCTTTTCTTCTAAATGGAGTTTGGGCATTTCCAGTTACTTCTGCCTCGCACTTACTGATGTGCTATTTGCAATCTGGGTGATGGGAGGGAGCGGCAGCAAAGAGCAAAGGCAGGTAGGTGTCTCAGCAGCTGTAATTTCCCTCTCTGAGATGGATAGCACCCCCCATAACTGGAGTAAGACCTCTTCCTTGGCAAGGAGAAAGAGGGAATTTGGCACTATGTTTTGCTCAGTTAGGAATGCAAAGGGGAGGGCAATTGGACAATTCCTACTTCTAGGCTCCCAGGAAAGCATGGAAGGAATGAGAAGAAACAGCTGAAAATGTTTCATTGGGAAACCTGTCTGTGGCTTCTCATGCCCAACAAGAAAGGAAAAAAAGGGCACAACAGGGATGAGGAGGGGACCACAGCTGTGAAGAATGAGGGGAGGGGAAAGATCATAAAATCATAGAATAGTTTGGGTCGGAAGAGACCTTTAAAGGCCATCTAGTCCAACCCCCCTGCAATGAGCAGGGACATCTACAGCTGGATCAGGTTGCTCAGAGCCCCGTCCAGCCTGGCCTTGAAGGTTTGCAGGGATGGGGCATCTACCACCTCTCTGGGCAACCTGTGCCAGTGTTTCACCATCTTCGTTGTAAAAAATTTCTTCCTTACATTTAGTCTGAATCTCCCCTCTTTTAGTTTAAAACCATTACCCCTTCTCCTATCAAAGGACAGTAGAGGGCATTGCAAGGGGGGAAGGATTTCCGTTTCCATGGAAAACCAATGGCTTTGCTATGCAGCCAGAGAGAAAACAGCCCACCTAGGAGAGTGATTTAACAAAAAAAAATTACAAAGGGGAGCAAAGAGCAGAGCACAACTGATGCTTTGTGCTCCCCCTGAATGCTCCAGCATTGCCTGGTGTGAAGCCTTTCCAGGTCTTGGTGGGCCACGTGGTGAGGAACGGACCCTGCCATCTCCAGTGGGTGTTGTTTGGCCCTGCTGATAGCGTGGCTCTTGGTCCACATCTTTCCCACCGTCTCAGCTTCGTATCTATATTGCTCTTCTGAATTGCAGTTTGCTCCTCAGTCGGCGTGTTAGCACGTGCCAAAGAGAAGGAAAAGAAATGATCTTAGGAGCCAGTCTGGCTCAGGAATAAGAGGTTTTGTGAAAGAAAGGAAAAGCAAGGTTGTCGCCTGGTGCCTTAATTTCATAAGAGTAAGTCTTTTGCTTTATTCCTGGTTTGGCTTGTTTGCAGGAGCAGTTCAGCTGTGCTTAACTTCTCCTTTGAGTACTCCAGCCAGCCCAGTCGTTTCCAGGCTGACTATTTCCAGCTACTCTTTTCTTTTGCAAGCATAAGTGAAACATGGAGGTGACTTCACTTCTGCTCATACTGTGCATTTCTTTGGGCTTTTATTATTCCTTTTTAATCAGCATCATTTCCAGGCTGCAGAGACGTTATGTATCAGAGAAGAGGGAACAGGTATCTGCTACCCTGTGCTGTGAGAACATCCCACCAGATGCTGATGGGAGCTAGGTACCGGCTCAGCTGAGATCTGTGTGCAGGAATGTTCATGGCAGCAGCATGGTTCACTTCTGGATGGCCACACTGCTCACACCACAGGCTTTGAGGGCTTCTCAGGAGTGGCACCAAGACACCCAAGTCTGTTACTGGACCCATGCTTCAACTTCTATATGTCTCATTTCCCCAGCTAAAAAAGAGCCATGAAACCTTTCCATGTGTGCGCGGTGGGTCCTTCCATGCTCCCATGTGGAGGCCACCATGGTGTGGGGACAGGTTCTGCTGTAGGTTAACCTTTGCTTGAATTTTTGCACAGCATCCTGCATAACAAAAAGCTGCCGGGGGCTGGGGCCCTTCAGCCAGCACTGTACCCACTTACATTAGTTGTGCTCTAAAAGAACCTTCATAAAGTCATTTTAATGAGTTGTTGCTAATTAGATGCAGAGCAGGGGTTGGTTTCTAACTCCTCTGACATCAAGTTGACTCTTTTGCCCTTGCCGGACGGCAGAGCCCACCTGAGCGCACTGCAGCGCAGCAGCCCTACTTTCACTGTGTTTGACCAGCAAGCTGTGAAGTTACAGGATAATTAAAGCTTTGCAGGACGAGGTAGTTACTCAGCCTTTCACATCAAATTCACACACAATGGTTATTTCAGCAGTACCCCAGGAGCTGCAGAAAGCTGGTGAAAGAAAGGGGAAGAGAATGGCATCTAACTGAATGCTATAGAAACATGCATCAGCCTTCCTACAGCTCCCATATGTTCCTTCCTTCGCTGCTCACTTCTTACAGGCCCCTCTTGCCTTCATTAGGAATAATTTTGGCATAATGTCTGCTTTTTTCTGGTTTGTTTACCTCGCTGAGGCATTTGTGAGCCATGTAACATGCCAGCCACTTAGGCTTCCTCCTAGGATTTTTTTTTTTAACCAAGAGTTGAAATCCTCTAGTTTTGGAGCATGAGATCAGATGTAAAGTGAGTATCCTGGTGGAGGGAGCATCTTCCATGCATGCATAGAGCACTGGAAAAAGCTGTGATAAACAAAGCTGTGCAGATGTACATCTGGGGAGCTTTGGGGGGCAAAGCACCCCTCCCAAGGCACGCACCTAGAGTGCAGGCAAGAAGCATAGGTTTGGTCTCCTTCAGCCATGCCCCACCTGTGGGTTATTGCCTTGGGTTGCACTTTGAGGATGAATCCCTGCTGTCTAATTGAGGCACACCCATCTTTAGTGCCTCCGTGTTAAAATATGACATTTTACCTCAGTGGAGTCTTGAAGAAATGCATGAAATCAGTCCTTCTAGCTTTGATTTCTGCCCGTTTTCTCTGGCAGTATCATTTACGAGGTGACGGGGATGTGGTTGTTTGGGAAGCTGTTCTGCAAAGTCTGGATCTCCTTTGATGTCATGTTCTGCACTGCATCCATCGTCACGTTGTGCTTCATTAGCCTGGACAGATATTGCTCCGTGGTGACCCCGTACCACTATTCAAGAAGGATGTCCCGGGGCAGGTGAGTGGAGTTGCTCCTCACTTTGGGTCCCTCCAAATTTTTACTTGGCCACGGCCTATATTGACCAGGGACCAAATGAGCTATTGACAGTTGCTGCCCAAAAGCAGAGCGATGTGGCAAAAGGGACTTTGCACTGTTGAAAACTTTGCAGAAGATTTTTAATGTGGTGCAGGAGAAAAGGAGAATGCAGCTGAGCTGGTTTGATGGTGCTCCTGGGAAAGCACTTTTTGAGTAAAGTATGGGTTGCAAAATGGGGTAGAAACCAGTGGTGTGGGCTGACTTGTACCTACAACTTTTGCCCTTTGCCAGCATTTCATGGGAATTTCCCCAAGGACTAGGGGAAATGACACCCAGAAGAGTGCATGTAGCAGTAGTCTTCCCTCTTTTAAACACAGTATTTTCTGACGTGATATTCATGGGGGAAACGCAGAGAAAACAGGACAAGTTTCTAAGCTCCTGTCAAGGTTTCATGTGAAACATTGAAATGAGGATTGCAGCGTGGGGAAGGTTGTCCGAGGGTAGGCAGAGAGGACGCTGCAGCTGCAGGGTGCTTTACGAGGTGGGTTCAGGGTCTTTTGGGGATGTTTTTCCCACTGCAACTCTTGCTGTGTACGATCTGTGGAGCACGGGCAGTCGCCAAAACGAGGAGGGGGCTGCGCAGCACGCCATGTCGCAGAGCAAGGGCTGCAGTGGTCCTGAGGATCTAGTGTCCATCAGCTCCACCCCTATTGCTCCTCAATGGGTAAGATAATGGCCAGATATTAAAGCTGAAACCAAACAGAAAAATCTACATGCCATTGTTTTAAATATTAACAAAAATCCTCTGTAAAACCTTTCCTCCTCTTTTTTCAGCCAGCTCTGAGCATCCCTTACACTGACCCCAATTCTGTAAACCACAGACCCAATTACCCAGTCGTTAAGAGACATTCACGTATGGACTTCTTGTACCCTGGCTTTTTCCCTTCTCCAAGGCCTGTGGGACTGCTGAGCAGTGATATCCCCCACGGGTTACCATGGGGATTGAATCGTACTGGATGTTCTCAACTCAAAATAACTCAGACCCTCTCTCCCCACCCCGTCTCTTTCCTTTTGCAGATGCATCGTGATGACCTGCATGGTCTGGGTTTACTCCTCCCTCATTTCCTTCCTTCCCGTCATGCAAGGCTGGAACGAGATCCCTGGGGTGGACTTTGATGCAGGCAGAGAATGCATCTTTGTCACCAACTGGATTTTTGCCATCGTGGCTTCTGCTCTGGCATTTTTTGTTCCCTTCATGGTCATGTGCAGCATGTATTTCTTCATCTACCGAGCTTCACGGCTCAAGGCCACTCGTATCATGTCTCAGACCCTGGAGCTTCACTACCACCCCAACAGCAAGCGGCAGAACCATCTGCAGCTGGAGAACAAGGCCACACGGACCATTAGCATTATCATTTCAGTCTTTGTGCTCTGCTGGCTGCCGTACTTTGTCCTGAACGTCTGGCTCGCTGCCAGAGGCACCAACTCCACCAGCACGGTGTTGGTTGACACCTTCAAGATCATCACTTGGTTAGGGTATTGCAACTCCACCATCAACCCAATGCTCTACGCTTTCCTGAACCGGGACTTCCAACGGGCCCTGAAGAAGCTGCTCATTTGCAGGCACAGGTCTCAGGTGGACATTGGAGAAGACATGGTTTCCATAGCCACGTTTTCCAAGACTGCTCCAGACCTCGAATACAGCATTACGGCGCCAGTGCCCAATGGTGCCCTGAAAGGCAAACCCAAGTAATAGAGATTCAGAACCAGCTGCTGGAGGTGGTGGTACAGAAAGTGCCAGAGCACATCCCAATCGAAAAATAACGGGTAGGAAAATAGGGGAAGGAGGGGCTGGAATATCACAGCTGGGGGCATAGGACAAAGATGCATTTCTGCATCTTCCACAGTTTTACAAATGAGGAACTTTGACATTTTAGGGGCAATTTGATATAACTAATGGAGCTAATTCCTTCCTGGGTAATTATTTTTTTAATGAGCATTTCCTAAGACAAATTCAATCTTCATGCTGTGGAAAAAAATCAGTATGATAACGTGAACTTGTCTTTGTGTACATCCTGGTGATCTACAAGGTAAGCTGGGACATTATTTCTTCTCAAGCCACTGTAGCTCTCATCTTTCAGCTTACATTACAAATTTGACCAGTTCTAATAACTCCACATGTGTCAGTCTGTGTACGGGAGGGAGGAGGGATGTGGTCAGAGCAGAGGTCGCTTCTTTACAAAGGCACCACTCTGCAGTCTGGGCTGTTGCTCAGGGTTCAACTCGCTTGCTTCTGATGTATCGAGAGGTTCAGAGCTTTCAGTGGCTTACTGTGTATTATCTGTGAGTTCCCTTATCAATTCTGGAAGGGAATATCCTCTGTGGCAGACCCCAGGAGATGAGCAAGACTTGCTGTAACACTGAGAGCACCGAGCGCCCAGGGGGTTGGAAGGGGGCTACAAGTGACCAAGAGCAGCCAGAGGGGATGTGAAGAGGAATTATTACTTATTTGTGTTTTGCACTGTGATGTCTGTGCCTTGATGCTATGGGTGTAGCTATAGAGTATTGCTGGACCACGCAGACATAAAAAAAAAAAGATGATAAATGGGAATAATTATTTTTACCACTCCCAAGTCTTGTCTGGACTTCAAACAGCAATGGGCTCCCTGCAGGAGGGCCGTGGAGTACCTCACTGAAGGATTACCCTGAAAAGGCAGGACTGCTCCCGAACGTCCCTGCAGCATCGTAACAGCGAGTAAAAGCCAGAGCTGAGCCCCCAGGACCACGGCTTTTCTGTAGCAGGGTCACGTGAAGGCTGGTGACCGCTCAGACACCAACCATCGCATCCCCCGGCACGGCTCTGGGGGGGTTTCACGCTGGTTTACGCAGGAGAGTCGCTGCACTCAGAGCCTGCTCTTAGACCAATCTTCTGTGGACATGAAACACTTCAAGAATGGTTTCTAAAATAGCTTTTTCTGAGTGCTTCATCACCTACTTGGGACAGGCAAGGCTTCCACAGCCTGGGAAGCAGAGCAAACGCAGCAGAAGGATATCCAGGCTAACATTTAATGCTAAAGCTACTGGACTGAGGCACTGAGAGGGGCAAAGAATGTCACTTTGTTAACGAATAAAAAACGGGAGGGTGAGTTAGTAAAAGTCCTGAGTCCTTCTGCTCTTCCAGCTCAAAGGTAGCAGAGGACTGTCCTCAGAGGTGTAGCAAAAAGCAAGTAGCTACTACCTGGAGCAGCTCAGCTATTGAAGACACTGGTACAAGGGTCAGAAATTCTCTCTCAAGGGCCTGATAGAAGAAACAGCCCTGACCTGGGGTGGCAACACCAGTACTTCTGGTGCCTCTTCATGGAGCGGGTTCAGTCTCCCAGCTCCTACAACTCCAGCAACAACAGGGAAGCGGTAAGGAGAATAACAACACAATCCTGCCCTTAGTCTGCAGGAAGCATCTAGGTCCAGTGGGCACCACGGTGGATGGGGCAGGATTCTTGCTCCGGACACCCAATTCACTTTGATTAAACAGGACAAGGAATTGTTTCAGGCCCAGGAGCTATGGTGGGGATAGGCAGTGTCCTCTGCAAGAACAGGCCAGGACATCAGCGCAGCAGAGCCCGAGACCAGAGCTCCCTTTTGCAGGGCTGGAGCTGGCAGCTGTGCTAGCCAATGCATTCAGGTGTCCCTTTGCAAAAAAAGGTGGCAGGAAGGTACACACCGATTTCCATGGCCACAGGAAGACCTGAGATAGTCTGAAAGTTGGTTCATAAACCAAAAGAAGGCAAATAAAACTGTGTATGAGCCATCAGATGTTCCCACCACCACAGCCATCATGTAAAGACTGGGATGTCACAGACAAGGGGGAAAGCTGCTGCTGTCATCTGTACAGAACTGAGAAAAGCCTGCCTTCATGGCTTCCCTTCCCAGGGTGTCAGCATAGAGCAAATGCACATTAGACCCAAAGGCCTTCAGTCTTTCATTCATGGTTGACCATTTGATCTGAGTTGACTGAAGAACATCATCTGGCAGAAGGACAGGGATGGAACAGGAGTGCGTCGTATAATCAAAACCTGACTTGAAGAAGGAAAACAACATGGGAGGTGCACCCTCTGGGTAGCCTGGCTCTGAAGAGCTGGTAAAATAGTCCTGGAGCTGATGGGGGTGTTGAAGCCCAGGTAGATGTTTCGCAGCACAGTGTCCTCTTCTCCCACTGGTGGGGCAGAGCAAGTGGAGCTGCGAGAGGCAGGGAAATGAGGGCTTGCAGGCAAGACCTGGGTCCAGAGGAAAACCTCTCTGGTTAGGGAAGACTTTCTTAGTCAAACTGTGGAGCAAAAGGGAGCGAAGACAGGGACACCACATTCCAGCATCCAGTGGGTGGAAGAGAAGCAAAGACTCGCTGCCACAGGCAGTTAAAAGCTGAGCGTGGCCAGGTGCTTTTGTGGCTGGGCATGCACCACAGAGGGTAGGATTTGTACGTGCCTTTGAGGGTGAGTGGAACATCCCAGAGCACACAGACACACCTAGTGTGAGCATGTATTTCGCTTTTGGTACTGAACTGCTGCAGGGCCCTTGGAATAGGCAGCTACTTACATCCAGCACAGATACACAGCAAGTTAAAAATACCTTATTCTAATTTCCTGTGCTCCATCAGTCATCACTGAACTGGCAGGGAAGCTAGAGAGGCTTCAAACGCGGCCATTTAACTGTGCATTTATAGCTGATGCTAACAGGGAAATCCAAGGGAAGAGGACACACTTAACTGCCTTCTGTTTTAACCCAGCTAAACTTTATCAAGTTCTGCTTTTGACCAAATATTCAGTGCAGCATTCTGGCTTCAACCAGACAAGCCAGTACCTGGGAGAGTTAACCAAGAGCACAAGATGACAATCTTTGTAATCCACTCTTGCCTTATCATAAGGCTGCAGAGTGTCAGCTGGTTTAATTGCCAGTCATAACGTCACAGCACGGTACAGTGATCTGCAGAAGGATTTGAATCCAGCATCTTTTAAGAAACTGATTTCAGAGCCTACAGCTTCAAAAATTTAAGCCTGTAAAACCAGAAAATACATTTATGCCAAAACAGTTCTAATAGTGTAAGAATTATCCCTTCTCCTTCCCTCTCTGTTAACAGTTGAGAGATTGCCTCCATCATCCACTCAGTTTAGGAGAGCTCAGCTCCCACCTTTCTTCAGACAGCATCTCGCTTCCGCGCAGCATATCCACGTCTGCATCATCACCTGCACTGTGGCAAGCGTGAGAGAGGGAAGCAAAGCAACTTACAGAAACGCCGTGCCCCTCCTCCTGTTCCAACTGCACAAGGCTGCCATCTGCAGCATGCACTGATGCAGGTTTGAACAGAAACGATGACTTCTTTTTTATAAATAAAAAAAGTTTATTAAATCATTTAGACTTGAAAGAAGTCACAATAATTAATGCACTCAACAATTATAGCAAGTGCATTCTGTACACCACCAACCCAAATGGATTGATTCTGTATTTTATAAATAAAAAATAACATATTTACAGTGAGAAATAAAAGCATGGCATTAGGCAGTTAAATTAGCAGATTACACAAATGCCTACCAGTTGATTTTTTTTAAAAAGTAAAAATCTACAAGATTACATACGACACATATAACTTCATTAGGTTTAAATCTTCAGAATCACAACATTTTCGTACATAGTTTTTACTATGGCTCTTCCAACCACTGCCTATAAACCCCCCTTTTTAATGGCAAAATGCTCCTTTTCCTTCTCTACAGATTTATCTGTATAAAATGCATTCCCTAAGATCTACTACAGTGCAGAAGTATGAAATGATTTCCTCTAATGACTGGCTACGGAAAGTGACAGTATGTACAACTGTGGTACTTTTTTGCTTTAAAAATAGTGCAGATTCCCAGTTTACCCACCAGGGACAAAAGTGGAGTCATTGTTCAGTTCAAAATCATCTTCATTTCACCAAAGAGCAAGTGATCCGCATAGATACTCACTAGGCTTAGAGACTGTAATTTGCGCTATAAAAATACAGTATTTTAATTCTATTTACATGTTACAGATCTCTCACTTACCCAGCAAGCTGACATTTACAAGCTTCAAAAAAACCCAACAAACCTGAAAAAAAACGATAATGGAGCACAACAGTGATAAGCACAGTAGCTGGACCCATCTGCCTAGGAGAGTTAAGGTAAGAAAAATGGAATGTGAAAAGTGTGGTTCCTGGCTTTCGTTGGCTGTCAAAGTAAACGAAAATCTGTCCAATACATCTTATACACTAAACATGGCAAAAAAGGTTTAAGTAAACTATTTCCAAGATAGACATTCTGCATCATAGGATCCTTCTGCTGAACAATCCCTGTAAAACCTGCTGAGTGGAAGAAGTGATCCTGAGGATAATTATTTGCTTGGTTGTCTTGAATGCTTATTTCCTGATAAACTCATTGTCCGTGACCTCTGCCTAAGCACTGGTTTTGGTGGGAGTTCCAAGTCTTCAAATACAGGATTTTCGATGATTGCTGCAGCCTCTGGTCTTTCAGTGGGACTTGGAGAGAGCATGTCCTTCACCATGGTGTACTAAAAGAAAACATGACATGTGCTACACGAACCAAGTCATAAATTCTTTCTTATTTCATGTTCTGACTTTAATTGTGGCTGTATGAACAAGTGGAAAATGTCCCCAGTTGCTTTCTGATTAATTTGGGTATTAGTGCTTTGGCACAGGAGTTAGAAGTGCATTAAACATTTGAAAATGTATCAGTGTGCGTCTGTTAAACTGTCTTTACTGTCAAGGGCTACAATCAATCTGGCAAATCGAATCTGACCCGAGATTCAATAGAGTTATGAAACCTTTACATTATTTGCAATCAAAAGAATTTAAAAACATATGAAATACAATTTATGAGCTATTTTTAGCTTCATGTTTAAGCCATCATGTTTTAAGCCACGCAGTAATTTTTCACAGTGAATTAGAGGTTTTCCTTTAAATATATCGATAGTTTGAATATTTGTCTCAAATTCAATCAGAGTTAGTGTCCTGCTCCAGCTGAGCAAGCACATCGCATTCCCCCAGGCAGCCTGCAGCTGTAAAGCAAGACAGCCTAGTCTCATTTAGCTGCTGGTCTGAAGCCACCATGAAAATCTGAAAGCATCTCAGCTTTTTATTGAAGAGGCTTTGCACGTCACCTCCTCTTATCTGCAACTGTAACACTAAAGATCTGACTAATAAGAACGCAGCACAATTTGCTCATTTGGCTTCCTACTTGAGAGATCCAGCTCCTGGAGCGAGATCCCATACAGCCATGGTGCTACCTGCGCTCTCCCCTTTACCTGTCTCGAACTCTGCACTTTCTCTCTGTGAATATGGACTTGTTATAAGAAATCATGTCAGGATGTGAAATGAATGGTACCGAGCAACAAAGGGAAGCCAGGTAATACTGTAGAGTTACTGGAGGTAAATTGTGTGATAAAAATATCAGCAGCCATGTTACTGTAATGTTATAGCTTTGAAGCACAGTAAAAAGTACATGGACAGAGAAATGTGTCTTAACACAAAAGCTGTTTTTTTTTTTTTCATTTTTACTTGCAAAGTAATTGGAAAGCGAAGAAAAAAGCTACAATTACTACAGAAAAAGCTACAATTAATAGCATCAGATATACTTACCTCTTGTGCATATTTCTGAGTGAACAATGGTGGAAACTTCAAATTTCTAACATCGCTTAAGGTCTGCAAAAATATTAAGAAAAAAAATGTAACTTTTTAAAAATACCATTCTTCAGTAGCATTACTCTATTATTCTTCAAAAACACGCAAACTATGCAAACAAATCAGCCTGATGGAAAAAACCCTTGTTTTAAAGTCTTGCTTTAGTGGCTAAAAATCACAACATGCTTAAATGGGCAAGTTGCTGCTTTCCTAGGTATACAGCCTACCATAGAAATCACATTACAAGAATTCTAATCTCTGCAGTTTTAAATCAGCCAGATACACAAACTTGTACTTCCTCACTTTGGCCGAACAAAGTCAACAAATCCGTGCACCACTCATAATCCCCAAGATCACCTACCCCAGTACTAAGACACATGAAATGACTGGCGCTGTCTTAACAATGTAAGCATTAGTCTTTATTTAACATTTATGGACTAACGAGCAGACTTAGCAGTTTTGAAAGCAGTTCATGTTGCATATTTCTGTGTCCTTACAAGGCAGCTGGTCTCCTTCAGTGTTTCTTCTGTAACAAGCACATTGGCTCCATCTCGTGACAGTAATTTTTCCATGTTCAGGCACACAGTTATTTGTAGCAGGCTACCGTACAAATTTAAGTTCTGTAGTTGCCAGCAACCCATGACTCACTTTAGCACGTTTTTAGTGCACAAGGACAATATTTTGCACAATTTCTTTTAGGAAGGATCTCCTTTTATGAAAGTTTGAGCACAAAATATAAGAATTCCAAAATTAAAACAAGATTCAATTCATTATTACTCCACTGAATGTATAAACTGACCAGTTAATAGCGATGGGCAATAGTAAAACTCCTGTTCAAGAGCACTGAGTTTTATGACAATAAAATGCTTCAAAAAATGGTTCTCCTTCTCTACCAATTCAGTCTGCATTTAGTGACCTGTTTTCAAACATCTCATTCGGGAATAAATTGCAGTGCCACAGACTAACTGCTAACAGCTTGAGGCAGAGGCAGGTCTCACGCTCCTCCTCTGGGGATTTTTCCAGCCCTTTGCCACAGATTCCTAGAATTTGCTGGGCCACCTGGTCAGGCAGAGCATGTTTTGCTTCAGCAAGTAGTGCTAATGCTTGGCCGATGCCAATGAAAACCTCAGCGTAACAACACGGAAACAACTACTAAAGTAGCTAAACTCCAGAAGTTGACAATAAAGGGGTGGGGGTTTCTTTTTGATTTTATCGAAAAGAGTGGAATGACAGTGAAAATCATGGGAAGTTAGGGCACTCTGTTTACCCTCTTATGAAGTAAAACATTGGAATTAGATGCAATTTAGGATTCACTCCAGTTACTGGCTTTGCTTCTATACTCAGGACAGAAACTGCAAGGGCAAGGCTTGTAGTCACTGCAGCAGGAGATCTTGAAAATCCCGGATAGCTCTTTACTGGGGATGTGTCTCAGTAAAACTGATTTCATTTAGGGAAACTGAAACTGGTTCCAGTGCAAGGGGTTCAAGTTAAGCACTGTCATTCCTCCTCTAGACTACGCTCTTTTGTACCATGAAAAGCCAGGGCATTTTAAGCAAGAGAATGCAACACCAGCGGAGGTGAAGCGTTCGGTCAGGCTGCATTCATGGTGTGGTTCAAGATGCTTCTTACACCTCTGCTAAAAACAATCCATCTTCACATGAGAATTTAAACACCCCAAGCACATATAAATGATAAATACAGGTTATAATGACTCCTTCTTTCCTGCATAGGTCACTGGTCAGCATATACAGAGGAAAAACCTTTCTGGCTATAGCCCCTGTTCTCTATGAACTTGTTCCTGAGCAAGATGGATCTCACACTCATTTTAACAGCAAGAAAAAGCTATTATACACCATCAAACCTCCCAAATTCATAGCTGATGCAATGAAAGTCATCAATTACTGGGAAGATCGTGCTTGAAGTTGAGCAAGACTCACAACTAAGACTTACTATAGGAAAAGGAACAGCAATTTTTCACTAAGTGCTTTGGGTGGAAAAGCACTGCAGATGCAAACGAAGGAAGAAGTGATAAAAATGCACAGCATGGTTCCAATTCTTGAATGAAAACCAAGCTGGTAGGCTTAAAGTCACAAGCTATATTTGTTGCTTGAGTTCTTGGATATCCTAGTTCAATAGTTTCTCTTACTTGGCTTGACAACAGAGGAGCTTTGTAAAGAAATTAAGGCCTCAATTCAACTGCACACATTAGGAAGACTGCAATTTATTTTCAGTGATTCACGGGGTCTGTACAAGGCTGATAAAGAAGTTGGGCTCCTAATTGCAAGGCTTTTTCAAAACTGAGAAGAACCTCTTGCGAGTGTTTCACCAAGCGAATAGCTATTTTAAACAAATGATCAAACTGAGGATAACCCAATACCATACATACCCTGACCCTCTCCATCTGTGTGCTGAAAGGGTAAAGCAGCTCAAAGAGAATCAGTCCCAAAGAAAAGATATCCACTTTGTGCGAATAGGTGTTCCCACAGATCTGAAAATTCAAAATTAGGGTTAGGTCAATCAAGCTACTCACTATATGTAATTACGTACAACGTAAACAACCCCCTTTCAAGTCAACATATGGAAGTGATTAGCCCTGTGCAGAGCTGAAAACTACAGGACAGGCACACTGGCAAATTTCATCAAATGAGCACGGGTGAGCAAGGTCCTGATCATCAGCTCCTCGTTGCAGACCCAGTTGTAATGTAAAATGTTTCAACTTACTTAAACCTCATGAACAATAGTGTGTCCTTGCTCAATTCACTTGAATATTACACAGTTACCTTTCTACTACATTAAAAGCAAGACAAATGAAGGCATCTAAGTACGAATCATTAGCCCTTTTTTTGCTATAGTAAATACATATATTAAATTACCAATTTTGGAATTCAATTTAGCTTAAAACTCTACTTTCATGAGAAAGAATTTAAGTAACTTGATTGCAACAATTTACTAGAAAGAGTGCCTGATCTTTGAGCTCCCGGGAATTCAGGTGTCTTCCAGGCATTGCCAGATATAACTTTAGAGAAGAGAGCACAAACCTGTTCTGGGCTCATGTAGAGTTTGGTCCCTACTTGTCCTGTGTGCCTGGCATAAGCTGGCATTGGGGTAAGTACCGATTCCTCCTCCTCATCTTGGTCCATAGCAGTTACCAGTCCAAAATCCCCAACCTTTACTATGTCATCCATTGTGAAAAATATATTGGAAGGCTAAGAAAACAAACAGGTAAAAAGAAAAAAAATATGTAAGTAATAAACAAGTCTCTGTGTTTCAGTAGAAAAAAGTGTTTCAACACTTTTTTTGAATTCAGATAAGCCATGCTATCAAGGCTAAAAACGCTCATTAAACATCACGTTAGCAGAACCAGCTAGGAATCTTCAGGAAAAAGGAATTACTCCTGCATTAAATAGTCTCCCTTCCTGAAACTGCTCATTTCTTGTCTTCCAGTAGAGGTTTACTAACACTACCTAGGTCTGCTGAGCAACATGCACAAAAGTCAACAGCTGTGGGGAACAGCACAGATAAGTTATCCAACTCTCCATCACATGGCAAATTCACACCAGATGCTGGAGTTCTGACTTTTGGTCTTTTTTATTCTAATCTGAGTGCTAAACTCGTTTGCTGTATTATTAACCAGCACGTAGCACGTCATCTTAGTGTTAAATTGTAGATACACTGGAAGCCTGGGAACAAGGTCTGCTTTTCAGATGGTACTGCAGAGTTTAGCAGTGGGAATAGCTGTTTACATAACAGAATTAAAAGTTTATTTTTGATAGAAGCTTAAGAACTTTGCAATATACAGGAGCAGCAACAGTGACGATCTGACTTTAGCTTGTTTGCCAGGTACCACTATCCGTGGCTTAACCTATGGATAAAGGAGACTGGAACTGAGATGCCCCCTTGCTAATGGTACATATCTCAGATGGTTTCTCAAGAGACTTGTGTTGTGGCTGATACAGCAGCACATGACAAATGAATTTTTACTTCTTTGAAACATGACTGCCTCAATTACAAATAAAGACAGACACACAGTTTTGGGGGAAGAACAGACTGATCCTTCAAGGGGGAAGAAGCACTAGGATTATGTATGGGGAAAGGGCCAAGGCACAGTAAAGAGTGGTGGTGCTGGGCAAGCTCCTCTCATCACTCCTGGACCTTCAAGGCTGGGAGAACATGGTCCATGCTTCGTTGACATAAACCCTGGAACAGGAGGAGGCAGACAGATACAGAGCAGTATTTTTCCACAAGATTGAAAGACTACAAAGCTGACCTATTTCAAAGTCCAGGCAACTTCCTCAGTTAAAGACAAACCCACTCTGTGCAAGAGAGAAACAAGACAGAAAAAAGGCTGCTTGTTTTTTTTTTTTTTAAGCAACGGACAGCTCTGAGATAAGCACTACAGACATAGTTAGATACAACTTGTTAGTTCCACAGTGCCCACATCCTGCCTCTGAAACTGCCTTCTGAGCCAGGTCTTATCTCCTGCTATATTTTCCTGTAATGAATGTCATGCCCTTCAGAGTCACAGCTCATTTAGTGCACAAAAGCTACTATCTGCAAACCCACAGCGTCTCCAGGCTCTCTGAAGGATTTATACAGCACCCACCCTCTGACTGCACACCCACGTTGTCAAAAATCTTTACATTAGAATTTTAATGCTCAAGGCACAAACATCTCCATTACGGATTTGTATCCCGTTGCCTTCATCTGCGTTGCCCTCCTCCTCCAACCAACACACAAGAAGTCAACAAGATCTGTCTTGCTTCACAGAGCAAAACTCTTCTTAACAGGAGGTTTTACTTCTTGTACTTTTCTGGCTGAAAACAGATTGTCTCTCAACAGGCTAGCATACAGTTTCTATAAATTAAGGAGAATGGACTCTCTGCTATCACAAACTGCCAGCAAAAATAAGCCACCAAGACCGCATTTGGAAGAGGAAGTCTAAGGCAGATGCACACAATTTTGATTTTAAATCAGAAGAGTACAACCACCCTCTAGTTCAGTTATCTTGCCAACTACACAAAGAAATTTCTTTCCAGATTCTTCAATCAGAATAAGAATTCCCATTTTTTCACAGATACGAATAAGGTACTCGGACATCTAGAAGACTACTGTTTAATTCAATTAATGCTGCAAAATGTATCTAAGATTGTTCTTGCAGTTCTGTGAAACTCAATTTCTTTTGAGCTGTCAAGCATGACCGACGGCTTATCCTGGGAATAACAGTAAATTCACTTGACAGACAGACTTCTGTTACCGTACTAAATTTTCTACAAAAGAATTTGAACTGTGACCTATTCAACTGCCTACGTAAATTCCTGCCATCTTGTCATTACGGTATCTCTGATTAGTAGGAGCCTAATTAATGCATCTCAATGTGCACTGTTAATTTAAATATTTAAAAGATCTTCTTGAATCTTTTAATATGCACGCATACAAATTTATTTTCACATAGGTCAATGGGTTTTTGTCAGTGCCAGTGGGAGCAAGAACTGGCCCCTGCTATCAGCCAGCTCTGCCTCTAGCACAGACAAAACAGCTTTGCAGGTTATTTACTTATTTGTGCTGGCACGAACTTAGGGTTACATGACCAATCTCTTGGACAAATTACAGAATTAGGCGAGATCTGTTCCAAGAAGCTTCTGAAAACTAGAGAAAAAAAATTAAATATACTGGCTGTTGTTTTCATCAAATTAACACGTAACAGACAAATAAACTTCCAGATCCAAGAATAACCTCTATACGCATATGGGAAGCTTTCTGCAGCAGGAAGTTGCTCACTCAGGGAGAGCCTTTCCAAGTCGTTTATACCAAGCAAACAAAATAAAATCTCTTATTCAAATTGCTGCCAACACTGAACTTTTAAGATGTTTCAACAAAACGATACACAATCGCTGATTAAGACTAATACAGCTTTAAGTGAAGACCTGCATAAGCTTTACTGAAGCGTGACCTCAGTAAAGACTGCAGAGAGTTACAGCTGACAGTATTGTTAAAACAGGTTATTAATTAACAAGTCGAGCAACATATTCGTATAGGGATTTAATTATTTTTCTGGTCAGTTTCTCAAGCACTAAAGATTTTTCAGATAACTGGTTCAAGGTAATTGCTTAATGCCGATGGGGAAAAAAAATACTTGGATGGCTTCATAAGTTTTTCTAACTTTGACATATCCTTTCAGTGTTACTGAATTTGAATCCCCTTTTACCGCCACATCTCAGGTGGCATTTTTATTTTGTTTCTACTGATACCAAATGATTACCATCTGAGAAGCTACAACAACGGTTATAATCATTTCAGTATTTACTCCACTGAGGTAGGTATCAATGCCTCCTCAAATAAGCAAAGAGAAACAGGAACTGCCTCTCCGCTGTCTGGCGAAAGCAATCCATTTCTCAGAGCTTACAACAATAAGACTAACTTCAGATGGGGTCTTTAAGTAAATTCTGGTATTTGGTAACATACTGACACTTCCAGTGCTAAAAGTTCCAGCAAGGTTAGGCAATAACATAGGATCAGAAGCAAAATGAAAGAAAAGGTACAAAAGTTAACTCCTGACTTCAGTTACATTAAATGCCAGAGGTAAAAACCACCCTTCCCAGTCTTAACTGGCTGGATGTTATCAGACATTAAAAAGATTACGAATCCTTCAGAAAGCTGCATTACGGTAGTCAGCATTGACTCAGAACTCGACTCCAGGACAGCTTACATTTCAATCCTAGAACGGCAATACTTAATTTTTACTTTCTCTAGCCAGGAGTAACACTGCTGCTCTTAGGCAGTATTGCTATAGAAAGAAAAAGGAAAATACCAGAATTCGCATCATAGAATCATTTAGGTTGGAAAAGACGTTTAAGATCACTGAGTCCAACCGTGAGCCTAACACTGCCAATTTTCTGTTTCACTTGAAATGGTAGAACAAGATCCAAAATAGCTTTCTTTGCCACATGGCTCAGCAACGAACAACCCTGTATGAAGAACCTGAATTAAATATGCCATAAAACAAATGCAGCTGATCTGTGCCAGGTACAAGAATTCTTGCTGTAAGAAAGACTTTAATTGCAATAATGAATGATTAATGTTTATTTCCTGGAGCACTGTACCTATTGTACAGATGTTAACTCAGCTTTTGTAACACCCATGCTGAGGTCACTGATAAGAGTCAACTATTTTAGCAGGATTTGTCTCCAATGTCATGTTACTCCCACATACAAAAAAATTTTACCTGTATCCACACACTCATGATCTGTCAGTTTAAAGCAGGGCTTGACACTGAGCTAAAGAGCCTGGCACTGCTGTATTAAAAGCAGTTGAATTTGGAATTGCTGATGTTCAAGTTTGTAATGCAGTGGAGGGACAGGTACCCTGTGATGCCATTTGAGTCAGTCCATGTGTTTCAGGGATTTCACAGCACCAGAGGCTTTTTGTAAGATACTTCAGGCACAGACAATTCAAGTTATGACAGCTTCAAAGATAATCTCACAGTACTAAACCAGAAAATGTTTGCCTATAGGACACAGCCAGTGAGACAACCAGTTACAACCAGAATCTGGAAAGTTCAGGCATTCAGTGATGATCATGCCAATAAATAAATAAAAAGAAGTAACACATTTCCTACGGTAACCTATGAATACAAACCTTGAGATCCCTGTGCATTAATCCTTTGCTATGCAGAAAGTCAACCGCTTCAGCTATCTGCAGAAATATCTGCAGACACTCTGTCCTTTCCCTCTCCTCTATCACGCATCTTCTGCTCATCCAGTCTTTAAGGTTCTCTTTCCGGCAGAGCTGCATCTGGATGTAAAGATACACCTTCGGAGAGGTGGGCTTGACTTTTTCTGTAATATTTTTAGAAAGGTCCAGGCTTAAACTTGTTGGCCTTGGAGGAGAAACAGAGAGGGGACTTCCTGAAGCAGATTTCTTGTTATCGGATTCCTTTGTACTTTTTGCCTTATCCTCAGAAAGAGTTTCATTTTGTGAAACATCAATTTTATCTTCCTTACTAGAAGCATTTCCACAACCAGAATCCTCAAACACGATAGAAGAGGAGGTCCCTTCCCTCAGGTGTACAACAGGAACAGCTGAAGAACGCATTTCCAAGGAGTGACCCAGCTCGTTATTGTTGATAGTACTGTCTTCTACATCACAGCCTGTAAGGACACTGTCCTGAAGGTTCAATAGTGGATCGTCTGACTGGTGTAAGTCCCTGTTGTCCGTGGCAGAAAATTCCAGAGGAGAAAACTGGCTTCCGGATGAATCGGACTGACCACAGGGTATTCCTACAGACCTTACCCTCTCCGATGAAGGGGCAATAACTTCAATGTGCTCCTTTGTAGAAAATGGCTCTGTTCTGATCTTAAATGATGGGACGTCCATCGGACTGGGAGAACTGAGGGGCCAATCAGTGCTAGAAAAACAAAATCAAGAGATCAATACCACAGAACTTCATTCCACTAGAAATGCATTTTCAGAAGCCCAGGTTTTAACAACGGCTACCTCTGAGAACCATGTCATACCATAACGTTAAATAACCACCCAAGTGTGGGAATCACTAATAAGCAGGATTTAGCATCTGTTTTTCTTAGCGAGGATAATGTTTTCTCATTGAGACAAGAGTGTGGATAAAAGAAAATTTAGCAAGCTCTACTGCCTGGATTCCCAATGTGCAATCAGACTCATCTTCAGCTTGAAAAAATTCAGTCCTTTAGAACATGCACTGCAATGACTATTTAAAGTGCCTTGGAAGAATTACAGCTGTGAAATGTTAAATTGGTGCCTGAAATATAAAGGTCGCTGTATTCTAAAAATTGTTAGGCATGTTAAAATATTATTATGAGACCACTAAATAGCCTTGTATTAGGTCTCATTCATGAAATGCTAACGTACACCCACTTTTTCCTTTCTCTTAACATCATCTAACTCCTTTATCTAAGTTCTCCATTTTTAACCTACTTCTATCAAGCTTTACAAATCGCCACTCTGATTATCCCTCACAGATTTATGCTGAAATAAATTCATCCAACCGTTGGAGTACTGAATCAGATCCATCTAAACCAAAACAATAAAGAGGAGGAAAGCAGTGGAAAGGAACAAAGAGGACAGAGATGCCAAAGTTTAAAATCGAATCCCAGTAGCAATGCTCCAACCTTCCAACCACCCGAAGATTCAATTACAGAAGTTAAATTAATAACTACAAGATGTTTCCTAAGCTGAAAGAAGGACCATAACACAGCAGAAGACTCAAAAATCGAGAGATGCTACACACAAGTGTGATATGTTTGTACCTTGTTCAGTTGAAAAGTTGATAGGCTAAGTTAATAACCATCTCTTTCCTATGTAGTCCCTCCACCTTCCTGGATCATCTACCAGTTCTCCAGTTCTGTTGATGTACAACGTCAAATTCAATTGTTAAAAAACCCCACGAGTTACCTTTCATCTTTCAACCACTGTTCATCCATCTTTTCCTGCCATCTCTCAGGTGGAGCTTCCAGCCACGCGTTGAAATACCGAACAATACCTGGATGCTCAAGTTTAGCTAATGCCTTGACTTCCCGCATCACCTTTTCACGAGCCAGCTCCCTAGCATTTGGGGTGAGAAGAAAAACAGAGACACGGTCACATAAAGCAATGACATGGCACAGAAATTTCTGCAAAGGAATTTAATCAAAGATAACCCAGTATAAACCAGGCCAGTAGTATTGCTCTTCACACCAAAAACCAGCTATGTCTTAAATCCCCCAGAGTAACTCCTTTAGGTTAGAAGTGTGGAGAAGCAGTATGTGCTCGTAACAGCTAAGTATATAGTCATCCTTTTTCAAATAATTACGGGCAGCAAAACAGAGAAGAAAAGGTTCATCTTGCTCTCAACTGTTTACAAGGATAGAAAAAAGACCACTAAACAGCAATATTCTACAGGGATGTAGAAGACACTGACACAAAAGAAAACAAACAGTAATACCGTAGTATTTCTTTTTTAATTGCCCTAACATAAGGAGACTGCATAAAGACTATCTCTGTTTTATGGACAGGAAAGCAGGTAGCCTGCTATCTTATTGAAGTAAATAATCTCTCTCCATAAGACTGTAACTGGATCAAATGGAATCAGATGGTTTTATTTAATGGGTTTGAATATGCTTGGAAAAGAAGAATTCAGGCTATCTTGAATTTCTGAACAAAACCTTTAATCTTAAATAGTCACGCTTATTTAACACAGTAAAAAAATAGTAAAATTCTAGATTTCATAGCTTTACCCCCTCCCTCTACTGGCCTGCCTGTTGCTGTTCTAACTTGAGATTTCCAGAAGCAGTGTCTCCCATCTCCCACTAAAAGGAAGTGCTGCAAGCTCTGTGTAGGGTAATTCAGCAGCATGGCTTGACCACCTATGACTGAAAGAAAAGGTAGGGGTTGTGGGACCAGAAAATGAAACAAATGGACAAATGGAATCAGAAAAGCTGGTGAGGGAGAGAGAAAAGAAAGAGAAGGTGGAGTAGGAAAGGTAAGGAGAGGAAGGAGAGAAGCAAATTAACAGTGCTACAAATAACTGGTCCTGTTATTAAAGGCTCTATTCATCAAGGAAATCAAAGGAGTTCCCATGGAGCCGCAGCATCCTCACAAGGGTCCTGCTATGCAAGTATTTTAGCCAAGCAGGTCACCCTTCTGCTGTGATGACATATGCCAAATTCTTGATGCCAAAACTAAGTCAGCCCCCCCATTTAAAAGTATGTCATTCATCCTAATGTAGTATCTGGGAAACCAGTTCAGGAACAGATGGTTCAGTGTAGGACGGGATCCCACCATTCATTCATTCATTCATTACCTCTTCTATATCTCAACAAACTCATTCATTACCTGTTAGGTAAACGGATCCTTTTGATAGCATAGTTGCAGTCATCCACTTTATTTTTGGCTTCAAAAACTACTCCAAAACCTCCACGACCCAGACACTGAATTGGTTCAAAATCTGTCAGATATCTAGGAGAAGGGTGTGAGGAAGGGACAGAAGAATGGAAGAAGGATAGAAGAAAAAAATGCATTAGTATAGATAGAAAAATAAAGTCATTTATGACTAAGAGTGAAATATTTCTGTACAGGCAAAACATGCTGAATGACTTGACGCATTTCTTGTCTTTTTTCCCTGCTCACTCACTGAGGCAATCAGATGGTTACCTATGGACAGTTGCTGATTATGCATTTATTCAGTGTCTATCACAACCCAGCAAGATCCATTATGCATGCACATGACAAACTGAAGAAGCTTTTCAGAATATCAGGTCACATACTCAAGGTCTATGATCCAGTAAGCACGCAGCCTAAGTTTCTATACCCAACCTAGGTGGTGACAGCACAGTATTTTCTAAATCATGATTTCCCTTTAACCCCACCCCAAATAATTATTTCTGTAACCAGTCCTTCAAAGCATCCCTTCCAAAACATCACTGTTCTTAAATCTCAATACCCTTCTTATTATTCCTCATTTTAAAGACTCCAGTTCTTATTTTCAGTGAGTCACAAATGTGCAGGAAATGATCACATTTTCTCCAGAGTATCATGACACACTCTTATACATCCTTCTGTCTTAACCAACTCCTTCATAACAGCAACAAAGGTTTGTTCCAAGTACAGTCTGCTTGTTCTGCAGAGTATATGAAACATCATCTGTTTCCATCTGCAATTGCCTTTCTCTGCTCTAATCCATAAACATAGAAACAGAGGGAGTAAACACTGATTAAGACCTTCAAGAATCAATCTTCCATTTCACATATCAGCAGGA